GCTAACTTTGCTATTTGAGAAACTAACTCTTTAGAAACTTGTAGTGCGCTTGCCTCACGTAGTAGAAAAGATTTTTAAATTTTTATATAAGCCCAGAAGTAGGCAAAAGAGGTTTTTTGTTCCCTTCTGTTTTATGCTTGTTCCTAGTTAGTAGGAGTTATCGCCCTCTAGTGCATAAAGAAAGTGGAAAATGGTGTCATCAAACAACACTTTTGTCTTGACACTCGCTATCGCCGGACGGAAGAAAGGAGTAATTCCCGCGAACGGAGGTTACCTTTCTTTGTAGCAGATCATGCTCTTCATTTTTGGTTTCGACCCCTGAAGTTAATAGTTGTGCGCGCTTAGCTCGATATTCGTACATTAAAAGTAAAAGTGTGATTACCGATGCCCAGAAATAAAACTTTTCGTTCGGCCGTTGTTACGACAGATCTGGCATCGCTTTAAGATGTCATCGATAATAAGTAAAACCGATAATGGAAAGTAGGGACTGGAAGCGGCTAGCGCTACCATAACCAAGAAACCACCTTGGCTTGTGCTTTTTAATTCTGCAGCGAGAGGAAGCGGACTAAAAGTAAGAACAGGCACTAGATCATAAGCATATTGTAATTTTGTAATTCCGTAGGAATTTAAAGTGTCGCCCAGGCAACTCGCCCGAACGACCAGGCAATTGTCGCACATCCATCAACTCTACTTGAGAGCTTTGTAAATAAATATTCGCCTACATCAACACCAAAGGTAGTTCTCTAATCTGGGCGGCGCTGGGAAAACTCGAACTGCCGTAACATTTCTTTAAATTCTTTTATACAAGAATTGCCGTGATGCTGTCTCCGCATGATCGTGGGCTTAGTAGCGCCAGAAGGGCATTGTTCAGCTGTGCTGTGTGTTCATCCGCAGACAGCAATAATATGGTTAACTGCAATGGCAGTGACTGTATGAAGAAATGCCACGTGCACTGCGCTACAGATATGGAGCCTAGCAGCGGATGGCGCTGCGAAAGATGTAAGAAATTGCCTAAGGGAATATCGCTTGAGGCGCAATATGGCGGCGAATTGGAGACATCAGCGCATAATGAGAGGACACATACGGTAGCAGAAAGGGAAAAGCAAACACAGGAGAATCTTAAGTCATCCACGAATAGCAACGGGGGTCATGCAGTGCCCGGCGTATGTATCAGTGAAACACGTTCACGATGCTCATCCACTTCATCAGAGGCAGTGGAGCGCCTGCAGGTAGAGATACGGTCGTTGGATGAAGAGGAACATATCCTGCAACGACGGCAGATTGTGATCGAGAAGCGAAGGGAGCTTCTCGCTCAGCTGCCGAACCATTGTAGTACGCGAACGGAGCGTACCAATGAGAGTGAAGTGACTCGCGCACCCGTGGCTGTCGCCGCGCATCCGAGGGCGTCAAGCACACATGCGGTCACAGAGAATGTAACACGCGGTTTCGTCAGTATGCAGCCTATGAATGTACAGTCAGTTGACGTAGAGGAAAGGCATACGGACCGCCAAAGAACAGATCGAAACACGCGACAAGCGTTGGGACACGAGGGCCACATAAATGGTGGCGTGAGTCCAAGCTTGCAAAAACATTATGAAAATTCAAGATTTCGCCTCGCGCCAGAGCAGCTGGCAGCGCGAAAAGGAGGCATAGCAGGATTGCCAAAGTTTACGGGAAAGCCAGAAGAGTGGTCGTTGTTTTTGGCAACATATGAGCAGACAACGGATCTGTGCGGATTCTCAGATGCGGAGAATCTTATGAGGCTGAGGCATGCTTTAGATGGCCCAGCGAGAAACGCAGTGAAAACTCTTATGCTAGATGCGCAATGTGTACCTCAAATAATCCCTACTTTGAAAATGAGTTTTGGGCGTCCAGAGATTATCAGGTGATGCGAGCAAAGTTGGAAGAATTTGGGCCTCTTCGGGATGACAGACTCGATGGAATTGTTGATTTCTCGATTGAGGTGCAGAACGTATGGGAGCTACAGGATTGGTACGTCATTTGAGTAATCCCGACTTAGAACAGGAACTGGTGTCTAAGTTACCGTGCATGCTGCAGACGATGTGGGGAATGCATAAGATGACGCTCAGCGATTCTACATTGGCCGATTTCAGCGATTGGTTGTTTCAAGTAGCCCAGGGGAGCAAGTTGTGTGATGATTCCAAGCTTGCAAAATAAAGGCCGTAGACGTGGAGTTGTGTACACGCATCATGAAGACAATGAAGGCGGGGACTGCAGGGTCTGCAATGGCAAATGTGCATCGGTAGCAGACTGTGTAGACTTCAGGGAAATGTCTCAAAGAGTGCGCTGGAATACCACGAAGGCATTAAGACTCTGCTGGAGGTGTCTTGGGACTCATAGGCGGCTGGATTGCAATGTGAAAGTAGCTTGCGGAGTAGATGGGTGCCAGGAGATGCATCATCAGTTGCTGCATAGAACGGTTACCGTACCGGTGAGTGGCAACTGCAATGCTCATAATCAGAGTATCGTTTCAGTCTTCTTCAAAGTTCTGCCAGTCGTCCTCTATGCAAATGGCAACGAGGTCAATACGTATGCGTTTATTGACGACGGGTCCTCCATCACTTTAATGGAAGAAAAGTTACTTCAGGAACTTGGGGTGAGAGGTCAGCCACAGCCATTATGCATGCGATGGACAGCCGGCATGCATCGTTACGAGAACGAATCAGTAATGTTAAATTTACGAGTGTCCGGAATTGGCGGTACCAAAAAACACATTTTACGAGATGTGCATACAGTAAAGAAGTTGGGTCTTCCGACGCAGTCGTTTAATGCAAAGGAGATGCAGAAGTATAAGCATCTGAAGAAATTACCACTAGCGAGCTACAACAACGCGGAGCCTCGCTTGCTGATCGGTCTGAATAATTGCACACTAGGCCGTGCATTCAGAACGCATGAAGGCGCTACGACAGCGCCCATAGCAGAGAAGACACGATTGTGCTGGACAGTCAAAGGAGGCAGCCCAAAACTGCAGATGACGGAAACGGCGTACACATATCACACTTTCCATGTATGTGTCTGCGAGAAGGAACTAAATGAACTACTAAAGCAGCATATCTGGAATGAGCAAAAAGATATCGGGTACTCAAAAGCAGACAAGATGATATCCGAAGATGACAAGTTGGCTCTGGAGCAGTTAGAGAGTAACACAAGGCGCATCGGAGAGAGATTCGAAACGGGATTGTTGTGGAGATACAACAATATTGTGCCTTCAGACAGCTTTAAAATGGCGTTAAAGAGAGCGCAGTGTCTGGAGGAAAGGTTAAGGCGGCAACCACTAATGGCTGTCAAAATGAGAGAAAAGATCAACGAGTACGTAACAAAGGGCAATGCAAAACGTTTGACGCTAGAGGAGGCGTCTGAGCAGCCAAATTGGTTCCTGCCGATTTTCCCTGTGTGTAAAATAAATAAGCCAGACAAATTGCGCATAGTATGGGATGCGGCAGCGAAGAAGGACAACGTGTCACTCAATTCAATGCTATTAAAAGGGCCGGACCAGATGGCACAGTTGGTGCCTATTTTACGAAGGTTCAGAGAGAAGGCCATAGCAATTGGAGGTGACATAGCGGAGATGTTTCATCAGGTGAGAATGCGTCTTGATGATCAAAAGTTTCAACGATTCCTGTTCATAGATCCTCAAACACAAAATTTGGAGGCGTATGCCATGGAGGTGATGACATTTGGTGCCTCCTGTTCACCGAGCAGCGCCCAGTTTGTGAAGAACAAGAATGCACGAGAGTTTGAGCGGCAATATCCACGAGCGGTCAAATGTATTTTGGAGAACCACTACGTTGATGATATGCTAGATAGTGTCGACACCGAAGCGGAAGCCATCAAGTTGGCGCAAGAAGTTCGATATATCCACTCTCGTGCGGGATTCCGTATACGCAATTGGGTATCAAACTCATTGAAGGTTCGTTTTGTGCTGGAGCGTACAGAGGATACAACCAAAGAGATATGCTTTAATGACAAAGCAGGAACATTAACGGAAAAGGTACTTGGCATGTGGTGGGACACTCAAGCAGACACGCTTGGCTTTCGGTTGTCGAAGCGGCACCAAAATAGCAAGCTGCTAAACGGTTGTCAACGCCCTACATAACGAGAGTTCCTGAGCATTCTAATGTGCATGTATGATCCTCTGGGGCTCATATCCTTCTATGTGATGTACGCCAGAATAACATTTCAAGAAGTCTGGCGATCAGGTTGCGACTGGGATGCAACAATAGAAGAAGCAGAATGGAAAAAATGGCAGCGTTGGGTCCAACAAATACCAGGCGTTGAGAAGATGAAAATACCGAGGTGCTACACAACGTCTTGTCCACTGAAAGATTCAGAAGTGGAAATGCATATGTTTGTAGATGCGAGCGAAAATGGTTACGCTGCGGTATGCTACATGTTGCAGAGAGGAGCAGAGGGCACGTTCTGTTGTTTGGTGGGCAGCAAGGCAAAAGTGGCGCCACTAAAACAGATGTCAGTGCCAAGGCTTGAGTTGCAGGCCGCAACAATCGGAGCACGTTACGCACAGGTAATCGAATCAACAATCAACACGAAGTTTACCAGACGAGTATTCTGGGTAGACTCTAGCACGGTGCTATCGTGGCTACGATCGGATCACAGGCGGTACCGTCAGTTCGTTAGATTTCGGGTAAGTGAGATATTAGATCTAACCGAAATATCCGAATGGCGCTGGGTCCCGAGCAATGAAAACGTAGCCGATGAAGCCACTAAGTGGCAGAAGACACCGGATTTTTCGAGCAGCAGCCGATGGCTGAATGGGCCAGCATTCCTAAGACAGGGGCCACAGGAATGGCCTACGGAACCTGCCATAAAATGAGAAACCACAAGTGAAGAACTGCGCGCACAATATGTGGGAGTGTGCGAGGATGCCGATTATGTGTCGAGTGGCAATGGCCTGATCGACATTACTCGGTTTTCAAGGTGGCGACGGTTAATGAGAAGTGTTGCAATGGTAATATTTGCAGCACGAAAATGGAGATATGCGGCTCTGACAAAAGGCAAACGTACAGAGTTGCTGACACAAGAAGACCAAGAAGCCGCAGAATGCTTATTGTGGGTCTTTGCACAAAATGAATACTACAGCAGTGAGAAGGCAGCACTCAAGAAGGGTCACCGTATAGATAGAAAGGACGAGTAAAGCTGTATGGAGGAACTAATCCTTTAGTATTGCCGAAAGAAAGCCGTATCACCATGCTGATTGTGTACGATGTACATGCGAGGTTCCATCACGCTAATCACGAGACGGTTGTGAATGAGATGAGACAGCAGTTCTGGGTACCACGCATCAGGGCGGTGGTGAGAAGGGTTCGAAATTCATGCCAGAAATGTAAAAATCGACGTGCCAAGCCCTGGCCACCACAAATGGCGTGTTTACCGAGTCCGAGGCTGGCGGCTTATCAACCACCATTCACATGCACTGGCGTGGATTATTTTGGACCGCTTCTCGTGACGGTCAAGAGAAGCACCGAGAAACGATACGGCGTGCTATTTACATATCTGACTACGAGAGCAATCCATCTTGAAGTAGCGTATTCACTAACTACAGATTCTTGTATTCTAGCTATTCGCAACTTCACCATGGTCCGTGGACAGCCAAGGGAGCTGTGAAGTGACAATGCTATGAATTTTCAAGGCGCTAATACCGAACTCCAACAGGTAATGGAGACGCTTGACGCAGGGAAGATAGCAGAAAAATTCACTGGGCCCAGAATGAAATGGAAGTTCCTACCGCCTGCTTCGCCACATATGGGTGGCACATGGGAGCGATTGGTGCGTTCCGTGAAACGCACGCTATATTCTATACTGACCAGTAGACGCCCTTCCGATGAACTATTGCAGGCAGCACTTATGGAAGTGCAGATGATAGTGCACTCACGGCCACTAACATACATACCAGTGGATGACGAAAACGAGGAGGCGCTTACGCCTAACCACTTCCTGCTAGGAAGTTCCAATGGGCAGAAGCCAGAAGTACAAACGCAACCTGAAGGTATACTCATGAAGAACAACTGACTTACAGTGCAGCAAATGGCAGATGAATTTTGGCGAAGATGGCTGCGCGAGTATCTACCTGACCTGACTAGACGAAGCAAATGGTACGAGAAGGTCAAGCCAATAGAGGTGGATGATATTGTGTATATTTGCGATCCCGACAGCCCAAGGGCTCACTGGCCGAAAGGAAAAGTAATTGCAGTGAAGCGCAGCGCAGACGGGCAAGTACGAAGTGCCACAATAAAAACGGCCAACGGCATTTATGTGAGGCCAGCTGCAAAGCTCGCAGTTCTGTCTATTGGAGTTGATAAGGTAGATCCCGACTAGAATATACCGGGGGGGAGTGTTACGACAGATCTGGCATCGCTTTAAGATGTCATCGATAATAAGTAAAACCGATAATGGAAAGTAGGGACTGGAAGCGGCTAGCGCTACCATAACCAAGAAACCACCTTGGCTTGTGCTTTTTAATTCTGCAGCGAGAGGAAGCGGACTAAAAGTAAGAACAGGCACTAGATCATAAGCATATTGTAATTTTGTAATTCCGTAGGAATTTAAAGTGTCGCCCAGGCAACTCGCCCGAACGACCAGGCAATTGTCGCACATCCATCAACTCTACTTGAGAGCTTTGTAAATAAATATTCGCCTACATCAACACCAAAGGTAGTTCTCTAATCTGGGCGGCGCTGGGAAAACTCGAACTGCCGTAACATTTCTTTAAATTCTTTTATACAAGAATTGCCGTGATGCTGTCTCCGCATGATCGTGGGCTTAGTAGCGCCAGAAGGGCATTGTTCAGCTGTGCTGTGTGTTCATCCGCAGACAGCAATAATATGGTTAACTGCAATGGCAGTGACTGTATGAAGAAATGCCACGTGCACTGCGCTACAGATATGGAGCCTAGCAGCGGATGGCGCTGCGAAAGATGTAAGAAATTGCCTAAGGGAATATCGCTTGAGGCGCAATATGGCGGCGAATTGGAGACATCAGCGCATAATGAGAGGACACATACGGTAGCAGAAAGGGAAAAGCAAACACAGGAGAATCTTAAGTCATCCACGAATAGCAACGGGGGTCATGCAGTGCCCGGCGTATGTATCAGTGAAACACGTTCACGATGCTCATCCACTTCATCAGAGGCAGTGGAGCGCCTGCAGGTAGAGATACGGTCGTTGGATGAAGAGGAACATATCCTGCAACGACGGCAGATTGTGATCGAGAAGCGAAGGGAGCTTCTCGCTCAGCTGCCGAACCATTGTAGTACGCGAACGGAGCGTACCAATGAGAGTGAAGTGACTCGCGCACCCGTGGCTGTCGCCGCGCATCCGAGGGCGTCAAGCACACATGCGGTCACAGAGAATGTAACACGCGGTTTCGTCAGTATGCAGCCTATGAATGTACAGTCAGTTGACGTAGAGGAAAGGCATACGGACCGCCAAAGAACAGATCGAAACACGCGACAAGCGTTGGGAAACGAGGGCCACATAAATGGTGGCGTGAGTCCAAGCTTGCAAAAACATTATGAAAATTCAAGATTTCGCCTCGCGCCAGAGCAGCTGGCAGCGCGAAAAGGAGGCATAGCAGGATTGCCAAAGTTTACGGGAAAGCCAGAAGAGTGGTCGTTGTTTTTGGCAACATATGAGCAGACAACGGATCTGTGCGGATTCTCAGATGCGGAGAATCTTATGAGGCTGAGGCATGCTTTAGATGGCCCAGCGAGAAACGCAGTGAAAACTCTTATGCTAGATGCGCAATGTGTACCTCAAATAATCCCTACTTTGAAAATGAGTTTTGGGCGTCCAGAGATTATCAGGTGATGCGAGCAAAGTTGGAAGAATTTGGGCCTCTTCGGGATGACAGACTCGATGGAATTGTTGATTTCTCGATTGAGGTGCAGAACGTATGGGAGCTACAGGATTGGTACGTCATTTGAGTAATCCCGACTTAGAACAGGAACTGGTGTCTAAGTTACCGTGCATGCTGCAGACGATGTGGGGAATGCATAAGATGACGCTCAGCGATTCTACATTGGCCGATTTCAGCGATTGGTTGTTTCAAGTAGCCCAGGGGAGCAAGTTGTGTGATGATTCCAAGCTTGCAAAATAAAGGCCGTAGACGTGGAGTTGTGTACACGCATCATGAAGACAATGAAGGCGGGGACTGCAGGGTCTGCAATGGCAAATGTGCATCGGTAGCAGACTGTGTAGACTTCAGGGAAATGTCTCAAAGAGTGCGCTGGAATACCACGAAGGCATTAAGACTCTGCTGGAGGTGTCTTGGGACTCATAGGCGGCTGGATTGCAATGTGAAAGTAGCTTGCGGAGTAGATGGGTGCCAGGAGATGCATCATCAGTTGCTGCATAGAACGGTTACCGTACCGGTGAGTGGCAACTGCAATGCTCATAATCAGAGTATCGTTTCAGTCTTCTTCAAAGTTCTGCCAGTCGTCCTCTATGCAAATGGCAACGAGGTCAATACGTATGCGTTTATTGACGACGGGTCCTCCATCACTTTAATGGAAGAAAAGTTACTTCAGGAACTTGGGGTGAGAGGTCAGCCACAGCCATTATGCATGCGATGGACAGCCGGCATGCATCGTTACGAGAACGAATCAGTAATGTTAAATTTACGAGTGTCCGGAATTGGCGGTACCAAAAAACACATTTTACGAGATGTGCATACAGTAAAGAAGTTGGGTCTTCCGACGCAGTCGTTTAATGCAAAGGAGATGCAGAAGTATAAGCATCTGAAGAAATTACCACTAGCGAGCTACAACAACGCGGAGCCTCGCTTGCTGATCGGTCTGAATAATTGCACACTAGGCCGTGCATTCAGAACGCATGAAGGCGCTACGACAGCGCCCATAGCAGAGAAGACACGATTGTGCTGGACAGTCAAAGGAGGCAGCCCAAAACTGCAGATGACGGAAACGGCGTACACATATCACACTTTCCATGTATGTGTCTGCGAGAAGGAACTAAATGAACTACTAAAGCAGCATATCTGGAATGAGCAAAAAGATATCGGGTACTCAAAAGCAGACAAGATGATATCCGAAGATGACAAGTTGGCTCTGGAGCAGTTAGAGAGTAACACAAGGCGCATCGGAGAGAGATTCGAAACGGGATTGTTGTGGAGATACAACAATATTGTGCCTTCAGACAGCTTTAAAATGGCGTTAAAGAGAGCGCAGTGTCTGGAGGAAAGGTTAAGGCGGCAACCACTAATGGCTGTCAAAATGAGAGAAAAGATCAACGAGTACGTAACAAAGGGCAATGCAAAACGTTTGACGCTAGAGGAGGCGTCTGAGCAGCCAAATTGGTTCCTGCCGATTTTCCCTGTGTGTAAAATAAATAAGCCAGACAAATTGCGCATAGTATGGGATGCGGCAGCGAAGAAGGACAACGTGTCACTCAATTCAATGCTATTAAAAGGGCCGGACCAGATGGCACAGTTGGTGCCTATTTTACGAAGGTTCAGAGAGAAGGCCATAGCAATTGGAGGTGACATAGCGGAGATGTTTCATCAGGTGAGAATGCGTCTTGATGATCAAAAGTTTCAACGATTCCTGTTCATAGATCCTCAAACACAAAATTTGGAGGCGTATGCCATGGAGGTGATGACATTTGGTGCCTCCTGTTCACCGAGCAGCGCCCAGTTTGTGAAGAACAAGAATGCACGAGAGTTTGAGCGGCAATATCCACGAGCGGTCAAATGTATTTTGGAGAACCACTACGTTGATGATATGCTAGATAGTGTCGACACCGAAGCGGAAGCCATCAAGTTGGCGCAAGAAGTTCGATATATCCACTCTCGTGCGGGATTCCGTATACGCAATTGGGTATCAAACTCATTGAAGGTTCGTTTTGTGCTGGAGCGTACAGAGGATACAACCAAAGAGATATGCTTTAATGACAAAGCAGGAACATTAACGGAAAAGGTACTTGGCATGTGGTGGGACACTCAAGCAGACACGCTTGGCTTTCGGTTGTCGAAGCGGCACCAAAATAGCAAGCTGCTAAACGGTTGTCAACGCCCTACATAACGAGAGTTCCTGAGCATTCTAATGTGCATGTATGATCCTCTGGGGCTCATATCCTTCTATGTGATGTACGCCAGAATAACATTTCAAGAAGTCTGGCGATCAGGTTGCGACTGGGATGCAACAATAGAAGAAGCAGAATGGAAAAAATGGCAGCGTTGGGTCCAACAAATACCAGGCGTTGAGAAGATGAAAATACCGAGGTGCTACACAACGTCTTGTCCACTGAAAGATTCAGAAGTGGAAATGCATATGTTTGTAGATGCGAGCGAAAATGGTTACGCTGCGGTATGCTACATGTTGCAGAGAGGAGCAGAGGGCACGTTCTGTTGTTTGGTGGGCAGCAAGGCAAAAGTGGCGCCACTAAAACAGATGTCAGTGCCAAGGCTTGAGTTGCAGGCCGCAACAATCGGAGCACGTTACGCACAGGTAATCGAATCAACAATCAACACGAAGTTTACCAGACGAGTATTCTGGGTAGACTCTAGCACGGTGCTATCGTGGCTACGATCGGATCACAGGCGGTACCGTCAGTTCGTTAGATTTCGGGTAAGTGAGATATTAGATCTAACCGAAATATCCGAATGGCGCTGGGTCCCGAGCAATGAAAACGTAGCCGATGAAGCCACTAAGTGGCAGAAGACACCGGATTTTTCGAGCAGCAGCCGATGGCTGAATGGGCCAGCATTCCTAAGACAGGGGCCACAGGAATGGCCTACGGAACCTGCCATAAAATGAGAAACCACAAGTGAAGAACTGCGCGCACAATATGTGGGAGTGTGCGAGGATGCCGATTATGTGTCGAGTGGCAATGGCCTGATCGACATTACTCGGTTTTCAAGGTGGCGACGGTTAATGAGAAGTGTTGCAATGGTAATATTTGCAGCACGAAAATGGAGATATGCGGCTCTGACAAAAGGCAAACGTACAGAGTTGCTGACACAAGAAGACCAAGAAGCCGCAGAATGCTTATTGTGGGTCTTTGCACAAAATGAATACTACAGCAGTGAGAAGGCAGCACTCAAGAAGGGTCACCGTATAGATAGAAAGGACGAGTAAAGCTGTATGGAGGAACTAATCCTTTAGTATTGCCGAAAGAAAGCCGTATCACCATGCTGATTGTGTACGATGTACATGCGAGGTTCCATCACGCTAATCACGAGACGGTTGTGAATGAGATGAGACAGCAGTTCTGGGTACCACGCATCAGGGCGGTGGTGAGAAGGGTTCGAAATTCATGCCAGAAATGTAAAAATCGACGTGCCAAGCCCTGGCCACCACAAATGGCGTGTTTACCGAGTCCGAGGCTGGCGGCTTATCAACCACCATTCACATGCACTGGCGTGGATTATTTTGGACCGCTTCTCGTGACGGTCAAGAGAAGCACCGAGAAACGATACGGCGTGCTATTTACATATCTGACTACGAGAGCAATCCATCTTGAAGTAGCGTATTCACTAACTACAGATTCTTGTATTCTAGCTATTCGCAACTTCACCATGGTCCGTGGACAGCCAAGGGAGCTGTGAAGTGACAATGCTATGAATTTTCAAGGCGCTAATACCGAACTCCAACAGGTAATGGAGACGCTTGACGCAGGGAAGATAGCAGAAAAATTCACTGGGCCCAGAATGAAATGGAAGTTCCTACCGCCTGCTTCGCCACATATGGGTGGCACATGGGAGCGATTGGTGCGTTCCGTGAAACGCACGCTATATTCTATACTGACCAGTAGACGCCCTTCCGATGAACTATTGCAGGCAGCACTTATGGAAGTGCAGATGATAGTGCACTCACGGCCACTAACATACATACCAGTGGATGACGAAAACGAGGAGGCGCTTACGCCTAACCACTTCCTGCTAGGAAGTTCCAATGGGCAGAAGCCAGAAGTACAAACGCAACCTGAAGGTATACTCATGAAGAACAACTGACTTACAGTGCAGCAAATGGCAGATGAATTTTGGCGAAGATGGCTGCGCGAGTATCTACCTGACCTGACTAGACGAAGCAAATGGTACGAGAAGGTCAAGCCAATAGAGGTGGATGATATTGTGTATATTTGCGATCCCGACAGCCCAAGGGCTCACTGGCCGAAAGGAAAAGTAATTGCAGTGAAGCGCAGCGCAGACGGGCAAGTACGAAGTGCCACAATAAAAACGGCTAACGGCATTTATGTGAGGCCAGCTGCAAAGCTCGCAGTTCTGTCTATTGGAGTTGATAAGGTAGATCCCGACTAGAATATACCGGGGGGGAGTGTTACGACAGATCTGGCATCGCTTTAAGATGTCATCGATAATAAGTAAAACCGATAATGGAAAGTAAGGACTGGAAGCGGCTAGCGCTACCATAACCAAGAAACCACCTTGGCTTGTGCTTTTTAATTCTGCAGCGAGAGGAAGCGGACTAAAAGTAAGAACAGGCACTAGATCATAAGCATATTGTAATTTTGTAATTCCGTAGGAATTTAAAGTGTCGCCCAGGCAACTCGCCCGAACGACCAGGCAATTGTCGCACATCCATCAACTCTACTTGAGAGCTTTGTAAATAAGTATTCGCCTACATCAACACCAAAGGTAGTTCGCTAATCTGGGCGGCGCTGGGAAAACTCGAACTGCCGTAACATTTCTTTAAATTCTTTTATACAAGAATTGCCGTGATGCTGTCTCCGCATGATCGTGGGCTTAGTAGCGCCAGAAGGGCATTGTTCAGCTGTGCTGTGTGTTCATCCGCAGACAGCAATAATATGGTTAACTGCAATGGCAGTGACTGTATGAAGAAATGCCACGTGCACTGCGCTACAGATATGGAGCCTAGCAGCGGATGGCGCTGCGAAAGATGTAAGAAATTGCCTAAGGGAATATCGCTTGAGGCGCAATATGGCGGCGAATTGGAGACATCAGCGCATAATGAGAGGACACATACGGTAGCAGAAAGGGAAAAGCAAACACAGGAGAATCTTAAGTCATCCACGAATAGCAACGGGGGTCATGCAGTGCCCGGCGTATGTATCAGTGAAACACGTTCACGATGCTCATCCACTTCATCAAAGGCAGTGGAGCGCCTGCAGGTAGAGATACGGTCGTTGGATGAAGAGGAACATATCCTGCAACGACGGCAGATTGTGATCGAGAAGCGAAGGGAGCTTCTCGCTCAGCTGCCGAACCATTGTAGTACGCGAACGGAGCGTACCAATGAGAGTGAAGTGACTCGCGCACCCGTGGCTGTCGCCGCGCATCCGAGGGCGTCAAGCACACATGCGGTCACAGAGAATGTAACACGCGGTTTCGTCAGTATGCAGCCTATGAATGTACAGTCAGTTGACGTAGAGGAAAGGCATACGGACCGCCAAAGAACAGATCGAAACACGCGACAAGCGTTGGGACACGAGGGCCACATAAATGGTGGCGTGAGTCCAAGCTTGCAAAAACATTATGAAAATTCAAGATTTCGCCTCGCGCCAGAGCAGCTGGCAGCGCGAAAAGGAGGCATAGCAGGATTGCCAAAGTTTACGGGAAAGCCAGAAGAGTGGTCGTTGTTTTTGGCAACATATGAGCAGACAACGGATCTGTGCGGATTCTCAGATGCGGAGAATCTTATGAGGCTGAGGCATGCTTTAGATGGCCCAGCGAGAAACGCAGTGAAAACTCTTATGCTAGATGCGCAATGTGTACCTCAAATAATCCCTACTTTGAAAATGAGATTTGGGCGTCCAGAGATTATCAGGTGATGCGAGCAAAGTTGGAAGAATTTGGGCCTCTTCGGGATGACAGACTCGATGGAATTGTTGATTTCTCGATTGAGGTGCAGAACGTATGGGAGCTACAGGATTGGTACGTCATTTGAGTAATCCCGACTTAGAACAGGAACTGGTGTCTAAGTTACCGTGCATGCTGCAGACGATGTGGGGAATGCATAAGATGACGCTCAGCGATTCTACATTGGCCGATTTCAGCGATTGGTTGTTTCAAGTAGCCCAGGGAGCAAGTTGTGTGATGATTCCAAGCTTGCAAAATAAAGGCCGTAGACGTGGAGTTGTGTACACGCATCATGAAGACAATGAAGGCGGGGACTGCAGGGTCTGCAATGGCAAATGTGCATCGGTAGCAGACTGTGTAGCCTTCAGGGAAATGTCTCAAAGAGTGCGCTGGAATACCACGAAGGCATTAAGACTCTGCTGGAGGTGTCTTGGGACTCATAGGCGGCTGGATTGCAATGTGAAAGTAGCTTGCGGAGTAGATGGGTGCCAGGAGATGCATCATCAGTTGCTGCATAGAACGGTTACCGTACCGGTGAGTGGCAACTGCAATGCTCATAATCAGAGTATCGTTTCAGTCTTCTTCAAAGTTCTGCCAGTCGTCCTCTATGCAAATGGCAACGAGGTCAATACGTATGCGTTTATTGACGACGGGTCCTCCATCACTTTAATGGAAGAAAAGTTACTTAAGGAACTTGGGGTGAGAGGTCAGCCACAGCCATTATGCATGCGATGGACAGCCGGCATGCATCGTTACGAGAACGAATCAGTAATGTTAAATTTACGAGTGTCCGGAATTGGCGGTACCAAAAAACACATTTTACGAGATGTGCATACAGTAAAGAAGTTGGGTCTTCCGACGCAGTCGTTTAATGCAAAGGAGATGCAGAAGTATAAGCATCTGAAGAAATTACCACTAGCGAGCTACAACAACGCGGAGCCTCGCTTGCTGATCGGTCTGAATAATTGCACACTAGGCCGTGCATTCAGAACGCATGAAGGCGCTACGACAGCGCCCATAGCAGAGAAGACACGATTGTGCTGGACAGTCAAAGGAGGCAGCCCAAAACTGCAGATGACGGAAACGGCGTACACATATCACACTTTCCATGTATGTGTCTGCGAGAAGGAACTAAATGAACTACTAAAGCAGCATATCTGGAATGAGCAAAAAGATATCGGGTACTCAAAAGCAGACAAGATGATATCCGAAGATGACAAGTTGGCTCTGGAGCAGTTAGAGAGTAACACAAGGCGCATCGGAGAGAGATTCGAAACGGGATTGTTGTGGAGATACAACAATATTGTGCCTTCAAAATGAGAGAAAAGATCAACGAGTACGTAACAAAGGGCTATGCAAAACGTTTGACGCTAGAGGAGGCGTCTGAGCAGCCAAATTGGTTCCTGCCGATTTTCCCTGTGTGTAAAATAAATAAGCCAGACAAATTGCGCATAGTATGGGATGCGGCAGCGAAGAAGGACAACGTGTCACTCAATTCAATGATATTAAAAGGGCCGGACCAGATGGCACAGTTGGTGCCTATTTTACGAAGGTTCAGAGAGAAGGCCATAGCAATTGGAGGTGACATAGCGGAGATGTTTCATCAGGTGAGAATGCGTCTTGATGATCAAAAGTTTCAACGATTCCTGTTCATAGATCCTCAAACACAAAATTTGGAGGCGTATGCCATGGAGGTGATGACATTTGGTGCCTCCTGTTCACCGAGCAGCGCCCAGTTTGTGAAGAACAAGAATGCACGAGAGTTTGAGCGGCAATATCCACGAGCGGTCAAATGTATTTTGGAGAACCACTACGTTGATGATATGCTAGATAGTGTCGACACCGAAGCGGAAGCCATCAAGTTGGCGCAAGAAGTTCGATATATCCACTCTCGTGCGGGATTCCGTATACGCAATTGGGTATCAAACTCATTGAAGGTTCGTTTTGTGCTGGAGCGTACAGAGGATACAACCAAAGAGATATGCTTTAATGACAAAGCAGGAACATTAACGGAAAAGGTACTTGGCATGTGGTGGGACACTCAAGCAGACACGCTTGGCTTTCGGTTGTCGAAGCGGCACCAAAATAGCAAGCTGCTAAACGGTTGTCAACGCCCTACATAACGAGAGTTCCTGAGCATTCTAATGTGCATGTATGATCCTCTGGGGCTCATATCCTTCTATGTGATGTACGCCAGAATAACATTTCAAGAAGTCTGGCGATCAGGTTGCGACTGGGATGCAACAATAGAAGAAGCAGAATGGAAAAAATGGCAGCGTTGGGTCCAACAAATACCAGGCGTTGAGAAGATGAAAATACCGAGGTGCTACACAACGTCTTGTCCACTGAAAGATTCAGAAGTGGAAATGCATATGTTTGTAGATGCGAGCGAAAATGGTTACGCTGCGGTATGCTACATGTTGCAGAGAGGAGCAGAGGGCACGTTCTGTTGTTTGGTGGGCAGCAAGGCAAAAGTGGCGCCACTAAAACAGATGTCAGTGCCAAGGCTTGAGTTGCAGGCCGCAACAATCGGAGCACGTTACGCACAGGTAATCGAATCAACAATCAACACGAAGTTTACCAGACGAGTATTCTGGGTAGACTCTAGCACGGTGCTATCGTGGCTACGATCGGATCACAGGCGGTACCGTCAGTTCGTTAGATTTCGGGTAAGTGAGATATTAGATCTAACCGAAATATCCGAATGGCGCTGGGTCCCGAGCAATGAAAACGTAGCCGATGAAGCCACTAAGTGGCAGAAGACACCGGATTTTTCGAGCAGCAGCCGATGGCTGAATGGGCCAGCATTCCTAAGACAGGGGCCACAGGAATGGCCTACGGAACCTGCCATAAAATGAGAAACCACAAGTGAAGAACTGCGCGCACAATATGTGGGAGTGTGCGAGGATGCCGATTATGTGTCGAGTGGCAATGGCCTGATCGACATTACTCGGTTTTCAAGGTGGCGACGGTTAATGAGAAGTGTTGCAATGGTAATATTTGCAGCACGAAAATGGAGATATGCGGCTCTGACAAAAGGCAAACGTACAGAGTTGCTGACACAAGAAGACCAAGAAGCCGCAGAATGCTTATTGTGGGTCTTTGCACAAAATGAATACTACAGCAGTGAGAAGGCAGCACTCAAGAAGGGTCACCGTATAGATAGAAAGGACGAGTAAAGCTGTATGGAGGAACTAATCCTTTAGTATTGCCGAAAGAAAGCCGTATCACCATGCTGATTGTGTACGATGTACATGCGAGGTTCCATCACGCTAATCACGAGACGGTTGTGAATGAGATGAGACAGCAGTTCTGGGTACCACGCATCAGGGCGGTGGTGAGAAGGGTTCGAAATTCATGCCAGAAATGTAAAAATCGACGTGCCAAGCCCTGGCCACCACAAATGGCGTGTTTACCGAGTCCGAGGCTGGCGGCTTATCAACCA